CTCCCCGGGCAATATGTTACAGTGCACAGTCACCCACACAGTATCAAAGTTCTTCCTTATATTCAGGTGGAGCTTCCTGTGCATCAGTTTCTGCCTGTTGCCTCTTGTCCTATTGTTTGGCACTGAGAAGAGCCTGGATCCATCCTCTTGAACCCTCCCTTCAGATACTTATTTACATTGATGAGGTCCCCTCTCAGACATCTCCAGGCTAAACAGGACCAGATATGGAGAGATAAAAGAGAGAAATTACAGAAGATTGAGTCCAGATCAGCAGCAAAAAAAGAAGTATTTTAGAGAAAAGAGAAGTCTTTTATGCTACCATTCTAAAACATTATTTAAATTGTGCATGATACTTTTACCAGAAAGTAACATAATACCAACAACTATTCCTGCGACTTGTGCAATATATAAGTAAACAGCAAGACATCTAGACATGTGATGAGAAATGAGCATCTGCATCTCCCTCCTCACTAACAGGAATGCTACAATCCTGACTGTTGTTGGAGCCAAGACTCAGCCAGAAGTGCAGTACAACAGTCAAGATGATACTGGGATTCATGATGTCTGGGATTCATGTTTCCTCTGATGTCCTAATGATTTACCTTACTCATCCTTACCTTAACTCACAAATACACCTTGCTGAACAAAGAAAGCAGCCAAGGCAGCAAGCACCCTGCACTGTATTAATGGGAACATGACCAGCAGAATAAGGGAAGTGAGGATCTCCCTTTACTTGATACTCACTAGACCACACCTACAATACTGTATGCAGTTTCGGGCCCAAAATAAGAGAAAATATGGACAAACTGTGGTGCATTCAGATGGTCATGGGGCAAGAGCACTTGCTCTGTGAAAAGCAGCTCAGGAAACAGCCTGTTCAACTTGACAAGAGATGGCTTTGAGGTGACCTAATAGCAGTCTTCCCATACCTGTGAAGTGGATACCCAGGAAACACAGCATATCTTTTCACAGTGGTACGTCAGATTTGACCGGAATAAGAGAGACCCCAATTTGATCCAAGGAAAAGGGTCCTCATGAAGCAGACAAAAACTGAAGCAAGCTGCCCAGAGAAGTTGTGCCTAGTTGAAAACCTATCCCTGTAGGTTTTCAAGGCATATTGAATAAAACACACCATGGTCTGCTCACACAGAGGACCCTACTCTGAATAAGGAGACTGGACTAGTGACTCATAAGGTCCCTTCCAACGTGAATTTTACTGAAATAAAAGTTGTGGGGCTGTGTTAGGCTAGACAAAATGAGGGGAGGGAAAGAAGATAAACAGACTTGCAATTACTCTGGTATTACTTGATAGCACAAATATTTCAAATTGCAGCATTGTTCTTATACAGATACTCTCACACAGCTGAAGCCTGGCATGGGTGGGATGATCTTCCTCACAGTTCCTAACAACACACAGCACTGGAAAAAAGCAATGGTTCAGGGAAAGGATGAGAAAAAGCAATTCTGCGTGGCCAAAAACTTCTGTCAGAATGTCAGCAATATGATAGTAACTCTGGCTGTTAGTAAAGGTCATGAGCAATTACAGTCAAAACACTGCAGAGAGAGGTGGTTACGTGGGTAATTCCAAAGGAAAAGAAGTGTCCTGTAAGACAGAGAAATCCACAGTGATAGTGATGTGTTTTCTCAAGATGTTAAGAGAAAATAGCTGACACACTTAAAGAAATCACAGTGGCCAAAAATCTTCATGTAAAGGCCATTCTTGAACAACACTGTAATGGTAAATCAATAGGACATGATATTACCCTGGTATAGCCTGTCCTTCTTTAGCATTAATTGCAAGTGGGGAAAAGAGAGCTGTATCTGACATGGTCCATAAAATGCAATTAAACCTTTGGAGTAAAAAAAAAAAAAGAAAAAACTCTAGATAGCTATATATTTTGGTTTAAGAACAATGATTTACTACTGCCTAATTGGTTCTATTTTTGAAGAAAAAAGGTATTAAACACCCTCTTTAGAGAGACAGAATGAAAAGGGTATTACGTTTGCTAACTCAATGACATGACTGGGTCCATCCATTTCCCCTGTTTCTTATTGAATTATCTATGTAATACTTACCCTCTCTGTCAGAATGCTGCAAAAAATATTTTGAAAGATAAGAAAAGGAAAGGTAGCAGGAGTTCATATAGAAAATACATCCTGTTATGACACGTGCTGTCTGCTTAAGCAGTTCGCTTAAAATGTCACGCAAGTTTCACATTCAATTCTACTTAAGAAAGTTATGAAAATTATTTGACCAGGTTCAAGTTCAAAGAATGTATACTTTCAGAGCCTGAGAAACATACAGGAAGACTTGATTAGGAAGGAATAGAAAAGTACATTGCTCCAAAAAAGAAATGACAAATACTACAGTGAAACATGGTGTATTTTTCTTCTACCAACAGTAACTATTGATGGAGTTCAGGATTATATAGAAAAATAATTTGGCTAGTCCCCCAGAGAACAAAAGTGTACCAGAGCTAGCAGCAGAAGAAAAATGCCACAACATGCCCTTGGAATTTATTTTTCTTATTTCACTTCATGACACCCCCATGACTACACCTTTGTGCCTGTAACTACACTTGAAAATTCACAACATAAATCAGGCAGTCATGTAACCTGACTTCCCAGAAGTTCCCCAAGAAGAACAAACACAACAATATGAACAAGAGAAGCAGAACAGGCAAAACCTGTGGTTTCATCACATCAGCAGTCAGATAAAAGTAATTTTCAAGAGGAAACTTCTTTTGAAATAGGCAGTTAGGTTACTATTGGGAGTTATGAAAATGTATAGACAGACTCGGAGAAATGTTGGTTGGAAGGGACCTTTGAAGGTCACCCAGCCCAGCCTCCCCCTCAGAGCAGGGCTAAAGCCAATGCTAGACAGCACTTTTTCAAGGGAAGAGGCTGTACTCAGCAGAACAGTGGGTGGCAGAAACAGCAGGATGTCTGGTTCAAACCAGGCCTGGTTCGTGCCCTCCACTCTCTGGAGGCACCTAGCATTCCATGTCAAAAATCAACCAAGGAAAGCATGAACTGACATGGTGATCCTTTCTAAAGGATAAAAAGCAGACACTGCAGTAAATGAAGCATTCAAAGCAATACTTCTATCCCAAATATGAGAAAATAAGCAAGGGAAAACTCTGATCACACATATAAAGTCACCAGAAGAAAAACTATAAGCAGCAGGTGACATGAAACATGACCCACACTCTTCAGTCATTAAGCAAAGCTCTGTTCAATATTCCAGTGGTCTCAAAACAAACGCATGAACAAGCTCAAAGAAACTTCCTTGCAAAGTTGATGCAGAACACCACAGCAATTTAGAAAGTGAGGAGCAAACATGCTGCAAAAACGCATGGAAAATGAACTATGACGCACATATCAAGAAGTTAATAGTTGTCAGTAGGAGGATGCAGATTTAAAAATATTAGCAATGTATATTTAGGTCATTTCTTCTTTTGTTTAACATGTAACACCCTTGACAATTCAGGTTTTGAGACAGACAGTAACAGAGACATCTGTTCTTTTATTTACCCATGGTAGAAGAATGATGTACTACACTTTGATAATAAGACATGTTAGTGTTCATATGACTTTGACAGCTATGATGGAGTGAGGGCAGGAGATGAGTGCTGGCAAAGGATAATTATATTTTTAAGACACAGTGTAGGTTTCTAAGGCTTTCCTTGGGGGGGGGGGTGAAGAACGATGGAAATATGCCTGTTTTTTGTTCAGATGCAAAATTTAAAGCCTCTCTTAATGGCCTTTGTCACACCATGAACAATTTTAATTGTCAAGAAATTGCTTTTCCAGCTTGACTGCCTGCTTAAACTAGAGTGTATATAAAACAAGTCCACTCCACATAGAGATCAACATCAAATAACTTGGTCATGGAAATATTTACAATTGTGCCTCTGTACGTTAACCTCTATATAATTCACTACCTTGCTATTTTCAAAGCAGGGCAAAAATTACAGAAGCAGCAAATTAAAAAATTCCTGGAGCAAAAAATTAGGAAATTAATTGTCTGGAGTTAACACAGATACAACTAAATGCACGTTAACTCAAAAGCAAAATGTTTATATCACTCTATAATGGAAAAGGATACAGAAAAGGCAGGAGATGAAAACATAGCAAAATTAAATCTCTAAGAGAATAATAAAAAAAAAAGAGATAACAAACCCCCAACATTCTGGTCCAAACACTGAGGGCAAAAAGATAAATGCGCTCTGAAGTCCGAAGCGTCATCTTGTAAGGATATAGAAACATAAAATGGTTTGGCTTGGAAGGGACCTTAAAAATCACCTAGTGCCAATCCTCCTCCCGCGGGCAGGGACACCTTCCACTTGACAGGTACAGACAATTATCAACTGTCACAGTTTCTCTTCAAGTATGATACCTAAACTATTTCCTTTCTCTTTCCCCTTTAATGTAGATACCAGCTCTTCAAATACACGTCACTAACTCATTACCAAGGCAAAGGTATGTTACTAAAACGAGTATCTGGATCATAACGAACACTCTTGTTTGGAGGATGCGCCTGGCCACCAGGAGAAGGCGAGAGCGTCAGGGACAGCTTTTCCTGCTCTCGGCCGTGTCACCGATGAGCCATCCCTCGCACCTCTGGGGTGCGAGGCGCTGCTGTGCTCTCGCACCACGGGCAGCCGGGTCCCCGCTACGGAGCCCCGAGCCCGGGGGCGGAGGCCGAGCCGCCCGCAGCTCCCGCCCGGCCGGTGGGGCCGAGCCGCGCCGCTGTCACACGTGGCTCTTAGGGGCCCGCCCCCGCCGCAGGCGTGCTCTCCGGCGGTGCGGGACAGCCGGCAGCGCCCTTCCCCGCCGCCGGCCCCCCGCGCCGGCCCCGGCGGGACCCGCAGCCTGCGCCGAACCACCCCCGCTCCCCGTCTCCGCTCCCACGGTGGGGCCGCGCATCACGTGGCGAGAAGGGCGGACCGCCCCGCCCCGCTCGGCCCGGCCCGGCGGCGCGCGGCCGGGGCACTCACTCGCCAGCGCTGCTGTTGTGTCCGCGCCTCCACTCGTGCCTGCGGCCGCCGCCTTCTGCCCGTCCCGGGGCGCCTCTCCGGGGAGTAGGTGGCGGGGCGGAGCGGGACGCGGGGCGGTGCCTGCCCGCGCTCCCTCCCCCACGGCCGGGGCAGCGCGGGTGCCCCGGGGCTGGGGGGGGCCGAACCGGCGTTGTTTGCCCGGGCCGGCGCGGCTGCCAGAGGACGGAGCGTGCTTGGCGGGGGGGCGGGAGCGCGGGCAGGGCGGACAGCCGGGCCCGGAGACGGGAGAGCCGGGCAGCCCGCGCCGGCTGCCAAAGCTGGAGCAGGGCCTGGCGCTCCCGGGAAGAGCTGCTCCCAAAACCCGGTGCCGGGGCCTCGCCTCCTGGAGGCTGTAATAAACGTGCGCCAAACAATACAACTACAGCTAGTCAGTCTGGCTCTTGGGGAGCTTTAAAAAACGCGCTATTATTTTACAGACGCTGTTGACTACTCAACAAGAAGGGGTTTAGGCTGCAGAGATTGGTCCTGAGCCTGAAGTAGGAGTTTTAAACTTGGAGGGTGTGAAGTGCCTCTCTGTTTATCCCCCCTTTGCTGGCAGCTTCCAGGCCCCAGCAGAGGATTCCCTCAAGCTGGCTCTGTAGGGATTGGTGTGCTCTTTAGCAAAGCACATGAACACTCCACACAGTAAAATCACTGTAAGAAAATTAATGCGCTGGTAAGAGGAATAAGAGCGAGATACCCTTATGCACTGACACAGAATGATTCAGTACTTGTTCACCAGTGCTGCAGAAACAGACCTGGGGGTCCTGGTCAACGGCAACTTGAATTATGAGTCAGCAGTGCCCTGGCAGCCAGGAGGGCCAACTGTGTCTTGGGGGGGCATCAGGCAAAGCATTGCCGGCCGGTAGAGGGAGGTCATTGTCCTGCTCTGGTCTGCACTGGGGTGGCCTCACCTCGAGTCCTGGGTACAGTTTTTGTCACCATAACATAAGAAAGATAAAGCTATTAGCATCCAAAGGGGGGGCTACAAAGATCGTGAAGGATCTAAAGGGGAAGCCATACCAGGAGCAGCTTAAGTCACTTGGTTTGTTCAGCCTGGAGGAGACAGGGAAGATCTCAAAGCATTCTATGGCTATTAGAAAAACAAATTATTTGTTGGTAGAATTGCCTTGTGAAAAGTTTAGGGCGTGACATGCTTCAGTGATCTCAGACCTAGGGGGAGGTTAACAAAGCTTGGGAAGAAGGATGCACCACTGATAGTGGACACAAAGAATGCAGAATTTACCGTCCACGAAGACATCTGGCAGAACTCCCAAGACAAGGAAGAAACTGCTAAACCCAACTCAGCAACTGTGCTGAAATCAGCTCCAGCTGGGTAAAGGTAATTCCAGCAGGGGGGTTTTTGTGACCACCGACCCAAGAAACCTGACCTAAAAGGAAAGACTCAGCATGTGGACTAATTAGCATGAGAAGCGAGAGAATCATTAACCAATAGAAGGTAGAATACTACTTAGTAAGAGAACTATATAACTTGTAGTCAATGAACACTAATTCCTTTGTTTGCTAAAATGTATAAATAGTAAAAGGTTTTGATAGATGGTGTGCTTGATTTGTGGAATACCACCGAGCACCTAGGCTTGCGCAACTCTGAAATAAATAGTCAATGTCTCTCTTGACTGTGCAATTATTGGCTTGCTGCACACCAGGTTAACGAATCTGATTTTGGCGGTCAACAAGATTGCTCAGCATTTGAGGCAGTAACTCTTGCTTTTTTCCTATATTTTATTGTTTTAGAGCTTGAATTAATTAGTTATGTATTCTATCACTTTCTTCAAGTGCTTCTTTTTGTTGTTTAGGCACGCACATTCAACATCAATACAACCATTCTGAATCAAGATTCTGAACTGTTACTCCAAGAGAATGTCTTCCCGTATGTCCCAGTGCCAGTCTACCAGGCCCATTAGATATTCTTCCTAGCTTTCAGCAGGACCCTGAATCATAAACTTACTACAAAAATAAACACCATTGTCACAATTAAAATCTATCCAAAAAAAGATAGCAAAATGCAGATTTATTTCATGGCTTAATTACAAATGTATTCACTTCTTGCTCAGCTGAAAATAAATTGGAACATACCATTGCCAATCTGAATGATTAACACTACATAAAAAAAGTTCAGCTCAGAAATCACAAGCTACACAGTACCTGTAGAGATTTTTTCCTAACAAAAAAATTTGTTTTAAAAACCCCTGAACCACTTGACATGTGTCATTACTGACACACACTGAACACCCATGCCACAACACTGCAGTGCAGCATTCTAATACAAAGGTCATCCGTCCTCCACTGCTTGATAGCCCGTGCAGCTGTGCACATCCTCTTCCTTGGAGAGGCTATATGGTCCTTTTTCCTTAAAGCACAGAGTCCAAGTTGCTGTGTTTATAACTTTACACCTATGTACAACCACTTCACATTATCGTGCAGTCCAGCACAAAGTCTGGCACCTGCTGCTTATGGCTCCCTTGGTGTTGACATTGCAGAGATCCAACTATGTGATCTCACTTTTGTTTCTAGTAAATTTTAGTCTTTTTGAGTTAAATGTGCCCTCATAAATGCACACTTGGTAAAGACAAACCAAGAGCTGTGGAAGCGCTACTCAGTGAAAGCCAAGAAACATTTGGGAATCTACATGTAATGACAGGTATGTAAATGTACCAATGCTCACATGAAATAGGGAACAAAGGCAGGAACCAGCAAATAAATATCAAGATATTGAAATTAAAAAACCTCACCATACTGAAACGGGCTATGCTATCGCATTTAACATTCTAACAGCTACAGCTTGAAATAGCAACTTCAATTTAAGAAAAAAAAAATCTCACCTCTGCAAATTTGCAGTTGCTTTAGATTGCTTTTTAAAGTAAGAGTGAAGGACGCCAAAAGTCTATTCAATAAGAAGTTGTTACCATTTATTACAGAAACATAGTCAAGATAGAAATGAATCAAACTGGACCTGAATGTTGTTTTCATACACAGAGACCTGATGTTCATTACTTTATCAGTCATGACATTTATCAAAGTTATCCTAATTTGTTTTATCCCATTCCCTCATCGAGCTACTATAACTCCCCTCACAAGGCAAGTACCTGCCAGTTTGCTTCAATGCCAGTCTTTTAACATTCTTGGGGCCAATAATGTATGAGAATGCTAGAGATGTATGGGACCAGATTACTTCAACTGAAAGCATCAAGGGAGATTTTCTTCATGTATATGAGCTGATCACCTTAGTTACCCCTTTGAAGTTAGTGAAGATGAGTACCTGGTTCAAGTATATGACTCCTCATCCTAAAGGTGCTTCCTTTAGAAGATGAATCATAGTTCACATTACCTGTTCCCCCTCCAGTGACTATACAGAGAAACTAGGATGAATAGCTCAGATGCAGGTATCTCAAATATGAAGGAAACAAGTTCCCAGTGAATAGGCCCAATATTTTTAAGAAACCATTCAAAAGTATTAAAGATTTTTATTTCTCAGTGCCCATAAACACACACACAATCCACATCTCTAAAGTTTAAATACTAAGTATGACATTAAATAACAGGAAACTTCATGTACATGGCATTGGTCTAGAGATGAGAGAAATATACAATTTGGGAACTCAGCTGGAAGTTTTTGGTGAAAAGAGACTCCCATCCATGGCAGTCATTGTGACTATTTTTCAGACTCCATTCTGTGCATTGAATCATTCTGTATTTCTCTCCTCAGAACTGTATTTGAACAAGCAATCTTTCAAAACAAAAAAGAAGAAAAAAGTAACCAGGCTTCTTAATTTCCCTAGGGAATCAAGCAGGCCAGCTGATAAGGAAACCTTAATCTTCTGTAATTAGCAATGAGAAAAAAATCCAACTGGAAAGACAATGTTTGTAACAACAGTTATGTATAAACCAAATTTTTCTTCACCTTTCTCTCTTCAGGGTTGAGTGTTCTGCACTATTCCAGGAGTCAGTTATGAGGTATGAAAAACCAAGCAGAAGGTTAGCATTATAACCATTTTAATAAACACCACTGTATTATTTTCACTTTCAAAATATTTCTGAAAATAAAGTAAAAAAATATTTAGTATTCTTGAAAGTCTTAAGGAAATTTTAATTAGAAAAGCAGTCATCTTTGTGGCTTCTTCTGAACACAATTCCGCCTCAACATTACACAGATGTAAGGGTATCCTTCTTATTACCATCATACAAGTAATCAATTGAATTTCTATAGAACTGAAAATTATATAAAACAAATAAACCTTCACAAAATATATACAAGTAGCCAGAAAGCTAATTAAGAAGAAATCATGTTGTCTGTACTGAAAAATAAAAACCATTTTCAAATACTAACAAAACATCCAATTTGTTTGTCTGTCTCTTCCATCTAAAACTCTTGAGTAGAAGGACAAACTGACTTCCACAGAGGAATTTCTACAACAGCTTTGTTTTATAATGACCTAGAAAGAATTCATACCCCATACATAATATTGATCTACTGGATTTTTGCAAAGCTAATATGGAAAGCAACAGGGAAAACTACACATGTGGATTTTATGATGAGAATAATAATTTAAACTCAGGATGTATTTTTCCAAATATACAGAAAAAAACTGATTATATTAAACACATTTATCTTCAGCTATAAATTAGCTCATCCAGCCAGACCCTAACTCTTTAATTCCTCATGATCAAAGAAGCTACATGTTCTCTATATCAATGAAAAGTGGGCTATGTATGGAAAGCCTTAAAAGCCTGCCGTTTGTACTAAAGAGTGTATCTATTTCAGCACCTTTCAGATACAAAAGTTGGCACTGGCTAAACTATGGTGGTCATCAGAAGATGACTAGCCATACTGGTGCAGTGTTCTGCTTACCAGAAGCTTACCAAAGAGCATGTTTATATCCTGCAAATATATTCAGAAACTACTTTCTGAAAATTCTGTCCAGAAACCAGAAGAAATGGCAACAATTGTATAAACTTAGTATCCTATATGAACTAAGTAGTCCTGCTGAGAAACAGGCTGTATTTGCAGGAGAGGAACACACA